CCTGAACTGAGGCAGTGAGACCTGGAGTTGCTGAAGGCTCTTTAAAACGCAACGATTAAGACTGCTGCACACAGGAGTTGAACCTGCAGCTTCAAGCAGATTTAGATCTTTCTGTAAACCCAGCGCTTTAAAAATAAACTCTGAACGATGCTTTAAGTGCAATGACATCAGGGAGTCTGCAAAAATACCACCAGGAAGATAAAAGTATGACACTTTTTTTTATTTTATCTTGACTTGAATTAGATTAAACGCTGTTTCTCATCATTTCTAGACTTGAGCTGATTCTGAGGCATTCAAACTGGAAGAACTGGAGCTGCGATACGTTAGACTCCACTTCTAAACCAGTACTCACATGTTGTTTTCATGCTTTGCTAAACTATAACGTTCTTATTAATATCAACTCTCCAAGATGTGAAAACTGGAGGTTGATGGCAAAGACCAAACTAAAAAAACAACCTCCCACATCTTTTCAAATCTTCCATCAGTGTTAAAAGGTTTTATCCTGAACTATATCAAATGGTGGCATTTGAACGACTTTCCTTCAGTTTTCCAGATTTATTGAAAAGCACTTCTGAAATGTGGAAACAAAGCTCTCAAGTGGAGCCACTGGAGAGCTGCATTAGGTTGGCTGCAACAGTCGGACACATTAACCTTATTATGAAGGGGCTGGTTTTGAGTCTTTATTTTTTGACTGGTCTTCACGACTTTGCAACGAGTGCTTTTAATATCCTGCTCTTCTAAAAACACAGCTGAGGAGCTGAGATATGGTTCATGTTCAGCTGCAGGAGAAGAGACGAGATGATTCATGGCACGTTGCCAGGTGAAATAACCGTTTTCTATCATCGGTGTCTTCCTATCTGGAGCAGTGGCTGCTGGGCCACAGCCCGGGGCTGAAGCTGGTAACACTTCCCAAACACTCAGTTTGCAAACGGACCAAAAATACAACGTTTGCTCCAAACTGTTGCTGCCAGTCTGATCCGCAAGATAATCAAGTTAAGATAATCAAGTTAAGATAATCAAGTTAAACACTAAACGGGATTTTCTTTTTAAAAATATTTCAACGCTCCTGTTTGACATATCACCCAACAGCACCGACACAAAAACTGTTTTCTTCCTCATCAAGGTATTTTTTACCAGCAG